TCATAAAATAATAAATCAGCCTTCTGAAACATGGAGTCAAGATTCTCTTCCCTCATCCTGAGACCCCTGTGAACATCACCACAGTGGTCCCTTCTCCTTGCCCACTGGGGCTCCTGGTATCTCTTTTCTCCTACAACAAAGAAAATCTCTTCAGAAACCTGCTCCCTACCCAGGGTCTGCCACTGAGTCCTTTCCACCAAGCAAATAAAACAGATTTTTGGGGGTTTTAAGCCTCATTATACAACAAAAAAATATTCAACAAGCTTTTCTAGAAGGTTTGTTCTCCTCTCTGCAGATGTCCAGCCCCACTTGCTGCATTCCCAGAGACAAAACCATTCCCCATCTCCCTGTCCTCAAGGTGATCCATGGATCACCAAATATCAGCCACCACCCCTACAGCACCTCTGGGACAGGCTCAAGGGCAGAAAAGAAAGGAAAACATTCCAGGGGGAACCCACCAAGCCAGGCAGAAGAGAGGAGAGCAGATGGGTACAAAACAAGAGCAGCAAAACAAACAAATCAATAAAACCAGGAGGGGCAAACCCCACTCACAGCCTGCAGCGTGTTCTTGGCCAGGGTGAGCTTTTCCTCACAGCTCAGAGCACCATTCTGGATTTTGTTAGCAATTTGTAGCAGCAATTCCAGCCTGCAAGGACAGAGGGAGGTGAGGGAGGGGTTTTGGGCGAGGAAGGAGCAGGGATGGCCCTGCCAGGGGCACAGCACCCACCTCTCCACCGCCGGCCGCAGGAGCTTCTCGCGCTCCAGCATCTCGATGATGAGCTTGCCCCACTCCTCCTCCACGTCGTTGGGGTGGTAGCCCTGGGGCAGCTTGATGCGCCCAAACTCAATCCAAACCTGGGGGAAACATCAGCAGGATGGCATTTCCCACCTCTGCCTTGAGATTCCAGCAAGGGAAGAGGGGCTCTGCCTCCGCTCCTGCAGTGCTGCTCACTGCCTGGTTTATCCTGAGGGGTGTTCCCACTTCTCCACTCCAAAATAAACCTGAACTGAGCTCAGTTCAGCCTTGCTGAAAAAGCACAGCATTCCCACCTACCAGCCTCTGGGCAGCCAGGATGATCCTTACCTCTAGCAGTTTGTAGAGCTCCTCTATCTGTCCTTTTTCCTGCTCTTTTGCTGGGATTTCAGTTTCTTTGAAGTGTATGTACTGGTTATAAAGTGCCTGGGATGAGAAAGGCTCATCAGGAACCACCCTGGGGATTGCCACCACCCATCCCTCAGCACTGGACACAGCACACACTGAGGAGAGACCTTGTCCAGCACCTACCTTTAGCTCTACAGGGTTCTGGGGGAAGGATTTGTCTGACATGAGTATCGTGTGCTGCTTGATCCACGAGATGAGGGACTCCACGCGGGTCTGGTACTCCAGCCACCTCGAATCCACCTCCTGTGGGGCGAGAGTGTCTTTGCAAGCACTGTTGGTGGGCAAATCACAGAGAACTGAGGTGCTGCAGGGCGGATCGTGTGCCAGAGCCTTCCTGCTGTGATGCCATCCCAGGTAAAGGGAGGAAGAGGAGGAGGATGCTCCTTGCTGGTTGCTCTCTCTAAGCTCAGCTTTTTTCCTGCTGTGGCCTTACAGACACCCCAGCAGTTCACAGGGCAAACACCATAATGGGGTTCTCCTCCTTCTCCTCAGCCCTTTTTCCACAGGGAACAGCCCCTTCCCCAAACCCTGCCCACAACCCCCAGCTGCCCCCCAAAAGGCTGTCCCAGCCTCCCAGCCCTCAGCAGTGCTTACGATGGCGCTGATCCCTTCTCCTCCCTCGGGGACTTTGGGAAAGGCATCGTAGATTGAAGACACGTAAGTTATCACAGATTTCTCATCTGGAGAGGGAACGTCCACATCTGGAAGGAGGGAAGCAGAAAGGCAGTGAGGAAAGGAGTGGGGAGAGAGGCTGGCACGTCCCTGCAGTGGTGTCACGCCCTGGGCACCCACCTTCAGCATCCAGCAGCCGAGTGACCCCCAGGCGCTCGGCGATCTCGAAGGCCTGCTCCAGGTTCTCCCTGTTGCTCTGGATCTGCACCCTCTCCATGTCCACCAGATCTGGCCTGCAAGACACACCCCAGAGTCACAGCCAGCACCAGGAGGGCAGGGCAGAGCATCCCAGGTGGGCATCGCTGCCATGGGTGGCTCCCAGGGGTGGTCTGAGCCCCCCTCTCCAGGGGGACTGGGCTGCAGGACTTCCCTGTCTCATCCCCTTTGGGAAGAGGGTTCAGACCGCAAGGAAAAACCTCTTGTTGCCAGCTGGGGAAGAAGGAATCAGGAGAGGATTAACTGCTGCTTGGGAGACCTCCAAGATGCTTGGATAAAAGCATGGATGGAAGTGCTGCTGTTCACGGAGAGCAAAAGGGCAGCACTGCAGCACTCAAGAGTTTTAAAGCTTTTCATTTCTGCCTCTCTCCCCAACCCCATTAAGATTTTTTTTCCTGCAATCTGATGTGTCTTTTGCTCATTCCAAGCATCCCCCCCTCCAGAGCTACCACCACCACCACCAAAATCTCTTGCTGGGGCTGCAGGTGTGCCAGGGGAGCTGCACCTGGAGCACCCTGTTGTAAAAAATACCAACTTAAAAAGCAGGAAAACACTGGCAGAAGAGAGAACTCCAGGTATAAAAGACATTGCTCCCTGCCACATCCCCAAGCACTCCAGCCCATCACTGAGCACCGTGGTGGGCAGAGACCCCTGGGAGACCCTCATCCCTCCTCCCACCCTCCTGACACTCCCATTGCTGCTCCCTGCCCACCTGTATCTGTGGATGAGGGCGTTGAACATCTTGCCATCGCTCCAGCAGGAGGAGAAGTTGGTGCACTTCAGCCCGATGTAACCTGCTGTCACCTTCTGTGTCCACAGCAGGAGCTTCTCCTTGGCTGACATATCCCCCAGCTCCCCGCTGATGTAGATGTCAGAGATCTGCAAGGAAGCAGCACAGCCATGGGAGGATGCAGGAGCAGGGAAATCCACCAGGATTTCCTTGCCCCAGACCCGGCTACCAGAAAGGGCAGGAAGCAATGTGGTCACCATGGGGAGAGGAGACACTGTGGAAGGCCAAAGAATTTGAGAAGGGATCACAGGATCTGTTTGGGCAGGCTGGAGATCCAAACAGACATTTTCCAACCCCATTTCACAAGGCCACCAGGGGCTGCTTGGCCACACAGCCCAGCCCAGCTGGGCCAGGACACGAGCTGACAGCTCCAAACCCCAGCTCCCAACAAGCAGCAGAGCCACTCCCTGTGCCCCATCCCTGTCCCCACAGACAGGGACACACCTCACTGGGAACACCATGTCCTGGCGAGAGGAGGCTCCAGGCAGGTCCTTTCCTGCCTCTCCCTGCTCCAAACACGCCGTGCACCCTCCTGTACTCTCACTGCTCCTGACCAGCACCCTCAGACACCTGGGGCTACTGGAATGGTCACCACTGCCACCCAGCAGCACCCAGGATGGGCAAGGGGAAGGGACCACCACCTATATCTCTTGTTGGGGATGCAGGTGTGGCAGGGAGCTCCACCTGGAGCATAAAAAATACCAACTTAAGAAGTGAGAAAACACTTGGACAGGACACGGGTTTCTCCCTGACTTCCAGCCATGGAGCAGCTCCATGTTGGAGCAGCACCCAGGGTGGGCAATGAGAAGGGACCACCACCTATATCTCTTGCTGGGGCTGCAGGTGTGGCAGGAGAGCTCCACCTGGAGCACCCTGATATAAAAAAAAAAACAACTTAAAAAGTGGGAAAACATTTAGAGAGGACGACTCTGACCTCCAGCCATTGAGCAGCTCCACAGTGGGGGAAAAGGGAGGGATGGGGAGAAGGATGTGACATCCCCTCTCTGCCTGGTTGGTGCCAGGGGGTGCTGGTGCCAGGGGGTGCTGTGACCCAGTTCCCAACCAAAGGCAGCGCCAGTCACGGACCCCTCAGACAGGGCTGGCTGCGAGTCCCAGACTGGCACGTGACGCCACGCACGTGTCCCCGCATGCCAGCAAATTCCTGACTGGCACGGCTTCCTCCTCACCCTCCCCTCCCCAGCTCCCCACTCGGTACAATTACCTCCCCTTAATTAAGGGCAGGACAAAGGGGAGGGTGGGAGCCACTCGGATTTTCCAGGGCGCTCACGGAAAATCAACGCACGCTGTTTGCTCCCCAAATTGCTGCTCCCAGCACTGCAGGGAGCAGGTGTGTCAGCACCCAGCCCTGAAAACACCCAAATCCCTCCCCAAAACACGCTCCAGCTGGGTGCTGGCAGCGCTCAGGGCTGTCAGACATCCCTGAGCAGGCAGCAGACAGGGACCTGCGGGATTAGCAGCGTCTGTCCCGCCCCGCCGGTGTCATTGGTATGCTGCAGCTCACCTCCCTCTCCAGCCTGACACGCTCATCACACATAGAACTGCTCTTTGTCAGCTGCTGCCACGCTGCCCGAGCTGCCTTTAACTCCTCCAGCCCCGGGGCTGCCTTTCCCCCTTTCCCCCGGGATGTCAGGAGCAGGCACCTGCTGGCAGAGCTGGGATGGATGGGATGATGTGCTGGGTGAGCAGCAGGATGGGACCCTCCACACCTTCAGGGAGGACCCACAAAGCTCCCTCTGCTCAGCACCTCTTTATTAATTACCTGATGGCTCGTAATTAAGAGCAGAATTAACCCTGCTGTGAACCCACCCACCAGCTGTGCCCCACTCCAGCAGTGCTGCCCATCCAGGAGCACTCACAGCACCCAGATCTGAGAAATCCTTTATTTTTAATCGCTGTCACAGCACTGGGGGTCTCCAAGCACTGGGCCTGCTCCCTGAGAGCATCCTTGGTGGAAACTCTCCCAGAGATGTGCTTATGGAGGTGCAGGGTGCGGCACCAGCTCCACCCTCCTTTCTTCACATGTCTGTGACAGGACAAAGATTTAGGGAGGCACCAGCAAGAAAAGAGACTGGAAACTCACAGGAATTGGGGCCAAACCCTTCCAGCATCAGCTTTGTTCATCGAGCAACTGGTGGCAGGATGCTGAGGGCCACATGGTGGCTGTGACAGCGGCCCCAACCTGGCAAAGGCATCAGGGCCACAGCCCCTTGAACCACACATTTGTCCTGGGGCATTCACAGCTTGGCCAGACCCAAGGACACCTTTGCCCACGCTGTCACCCCCAAAACAGCGACCAGCAAGCAGCAACGGGCTCTGAAACACAGCACCATCCCCTCCTGTTCCTCCTGGAGACCCCTCAGAGCAGGCAGAGCCCCCAGGTCTCCATGTTCATCCTGCTGCCATCCATCCTGCACGGGCAGCACGAATGAGACACCCCAAATTCACACCCTGAGCGCACGAGTGGCAGTGGTGACAGCAGCCACCAGCCGCACCCACTGCATCCAGGAGCTGTCACTGCCAGCCTGCTGTGCCAGGAGCAGGGACAGGACAGCTCAGTCTCCAAGGGATGCTTTCCCAGAGGAAAGGGAAAATCCTCAAGGAGCTTTCTTCCCCAGCATCCTGCCACCCTGCCAGGACAGCTCACTCCCCAAGGGATACTTTCACAGTGAAGGGGAAAATCCTCAGGAGCTTTCTGCCCCAGCATCCTGACACAGCACGAGATTGCCCCATTGCTGAAACGACCATGCCCAGGAGCCACCAAGATTTGGAGTCCACTGAGCCAAAATCACCATGCCCAGGAGCCACCAAGATTTGGGGTCCCTGAGCTGAAATGACCATGCCCAGGAGCCAGCAGGACTTGGGGTCCACTGAGCCAAAATCACCATGCCCAGGAGCCACCAAGATTTGGGGTGCCCTGAGCCGAAATGACCATGCCCAGGAGCCAGCAGGATTTGGGTTCCCTGAGCTGAAATGACCATGCCCAGGAGCCAGCTGGA